CCAGAAAAAGAAAATTTATATCCATTAAAAAATGTTTATACATGTGATCATAGTAGCTTTATTTGCAATAGCCAAACCTGGAAACAACAAAAATACCCTTCACTATTAAACAAATTGTGGAACATCCTCAACATGGAGTACTACTCATCAATAAAAAAGAACAATGTATTGTTTTACAAAATCATTTGGATGGGTCTCAAGGGTAAAAAAAATATTTAAAAAGATAATCTCAAAAGATCATATACCATATGACTCTATTTACATAACATTCTTGAAGAGGTAAAATTATAGATATGGAAAACAGACTAGGGCATCCAGGGGTTAGGGATGGTGGAGGAGATGGAAGAGGGTGAACTGTAAGGAAGTAGCATGAGGAAGATGTTTGTGGAGATCAAAGTTCTGAATTTTCACTGCAGTGAGGGTAATACATATCTACATTTCTGACAAACTGTCATAAAAATATGCACACACATTAAACCAATGTAAATTTCCTGCTTTCAATATTGTACCATAGTTACATAAGGTATTCGGGAAAAATGGGTATGTGCTGCCTCTCAACACTATTTTTGCAACTTATTATTTCAAAATAAAAAGTTAAATAAAGGAGGCTATCATCTTGGAGTAATCTATCAGAAGAAGATGATAAACAACTAAGAACATTTAGAAATCCCGATATTCCAAACACTGGATCAAAYTGAAAATTCTCAGCCCACCTGCTATAAATATCCAGCACAAATATCTCTGTATTAAGAGTGCTTTCAATTTTTAATTAGCATAACCTGCCCCAATTTCTGCTTCTAGCAATAAAATCCCCCAATTTTCTCCCTTAATCAATTACTGTATAAATTTATTCACTGGTCTATGTCCCATTCTTTGAGTGGCTGTCACATATCCTACATATTCACAAGAGATTTGAAGCATCTGATGGACCTCAGGCCCTACCTAAAGAAATTGGGACTTTTAGTTCCAGGTTGTATTCTGGTACAGGGTTGAAGGAGTATGGTCTATGGGTGACAGGGAGTGAATGTAAGGAAGAGCCAAAGGGCAGTGTCCGGGCACAAGTGAAGGTCAAGTGAAGCCAGAGGCTAGACAAAAAGCAGAAACTAAGGAAAGGGTATGACAAATGATTGTTGGTGGAGACAGACTGGAGGAATTCCCTGAAGTGCTGAGTGAAGATGGAACTATTAATGATCCTGAGCACATTTAGATGCTTTTAATAATGATGATAATTTTAGTTCTCATCTTATTGAGCATTTATTTTGTGTCAGAGATTATGATACATCCTTTTTCAACTTTACCATGATTTTATGAATTAGGAACACATTATGTCCATTTAGTAAATTAGAGAGCCAAGGCTCAGAAAGTTTAAATCACTTGTTCAAGTCTTTACATCTGGGAAGTTGTAGAACAGTTGCTCAAAGTACTTTGGTTTGATTCCCCAGCCAATATTATTACCCACTACACTCAGCCCACTTCCTCTCTCATATCCCTGTCTATTAGCTACTTCTATATTAATGTCTACATGGGTATCCATGCCTCGTCTATTTATATCTGTACAATCCATCTCTATATCCATATTTAACAAAATGATAGGGCAATACATTAAAATCAGGACCTTGTGAAATAAGAATAGAGAATAAAATGAAAGGAAAACTATGGACTGCAACGTTCAGTACCGTGATAAAAATGGGCAGCTTCAAAGAAGAAAGGAAAATATGGTCGCTCTCAAAGTATATATTGTCTGTTTGCAGCAATAACCTAGAAAGTGCTCATTTTGGAAGGCTTTACAGACAGGATGAATTTGTGTGGTGTCTTTGAGGCTAAGGAAGGTACAGTTTGGTGGGAAGAATATGTTCTTCATCAGTGCTTCTCACAGAGGTGTCTCCTTCCCTGGATGTTTAAACAAGGCTTTTAAATTACATTCCTGCTGATTGTGGATCAGCCTCCTGAGGGATGTGGCCTTCTGTTGAGAATTCTGCCGTGATGCACCRTGTGGCTAATGAGTGTACTAATTCGAGTGTACAGGTGGGAGTCTCTCAGGTGTATTGGAAGAAGAAAAGGGCAACACCTGTTCTAGACAAAGACAGTGGAATGAATCATTTATTCCGAAATCATTCAGCATGTGTCATGTGCAAATGTAACATGAGATGGACAATGAAGTGCACACTGTGTTGGGGAAGGTAGGTGAGAACGAAGTACTGCTGCACACCTGGCTGGCTATGTGTTGGCTTTGCACATGATTTTTCCCATCATCCCCACCACAACTTTGTGAAGTAGGAGTAATGCTCATTTCACAGGTCAGGAATCAGACTCTTGGAGATTAAGGAATTTTCTCAAGGTAATGCAACCACAAAGTCCCAGGAGAGAATGAAAGGCAGATGCATTCTGTCTCTAACCCAGTTTATTCCCACATTGAATTCCTTGTAAACAGTGGCTCTGGAGCACAACTAGGGAGGAGTATCAAAATCAACACAATTAAAACACACTCTCCTGAGGAGTTTATAACCAAACTGTAAGATGGAGACCAGATTTAAAATAATATAAGCTGCCAAAAGAGAAGAGCAGCTGTTGTTATTCTGCAGGGACTAGGGCTTGGTATATTGCAGAAGGTGCAGAAGCAGCAGCATTTGAGCTGAGTCGAGAAGGCTAGATAAGATTGTGACAGATATTAGTGCATGGAAGAGACATTCCTATGGGTAGTGGTGTGTTCTAGAATGACTTTCAGAGACTTGAGATTACTGCAATTTATCTGGACAAGGTTTGGACTTCGATCATGGAAGAGTGAATTGACTGTGAGGTTCAGAAATGGACAGATCTGAAGTCCAAGTACATATCTTTATGGATGTCTTTCCATTCTGTATCCTGTCTTATATTCTTAGGSAACACACAGAATATTAATCAGCTTTCCATCATTGTGACAAAACACCTAAGATAAATTATTTTAAGGGAGGAAAGGTTTATCTTGGCTCATGGGTAGAGGTTTCAGTCCATAGTCTACTGATCGCATTGTTGCTGGGTCTGTTATGAGCCAGAAAATGATGGAGAAGAATGTGGTAGAGCAAAGCTGCTCTCTTCATGGTGGCCAGGATGCAGAGAGGGAGTGGCCCAAAGACCAGAGATAAGGTGCATCTTTCAAGGGCACACCTCCAAGAACCTACTCATTCTAATGAGACCCCACATTCTAAGTTTCTACACCTGCCTATGCCCCATTAAACTATGAAACCATAAATGGATTAATCCATTGATGAGGTCAAAACTTTCATGAGTCAATCACCTCCCCAGAGTCCCACCTCTGAACACACCTGCCTTGGGGACTAAGCCTACACATGAGATTTTGAGGGACATTTCAGATCCAAACTATAACAAGGAGGAATTCAGGAAAGCTTCATACAGCGACATTGGTATATGTTAAATTCCCTTTGCTGTTCCAGTAATTTAAGACCTTAAAAAATAAAGGGGGAGTTCTGAAGGAGTGGGAATCTGGACAAAACACTCCTCTTCCTTTATTCCTGCTCCCCCTCCACATACTCCACCTTTGAAACATGAGATCCTTCCTTTCCAATGACTTGGCAGTGCCAGTTTGGGGAAAACAAAGGAGTTTGTTTTGCAGCTCCCAGAATCCAATTTGTAGAGATTTGAGGACTTACTTAKCCCACGAATAAGACTTCACTCAGAACATTGCCGGCATTCCTACTTAGGAGATCTTAGATGCATTGAATAGAGATGCATGGTTTGGATTTGGGGGCAGAAATTTGTGAAGATGCCACACAGAGATCATGGAAGAGAAGTGAGAGTGATCACAATTATTGCTAGGCCTAGAAATTTGGGAGAATGAAACCACAATCCATAGAGTCGATTACTGCTTCAGAAGAGATTTACACTGGGCCTGGAAATTTGTTCCATAGATCTTATTGCTGTTTGAGAAGACCTCTAAACTGTCCAAAAGTTCTGAACTCTGCTCCCAATGAGGCATGAGGAGGTACTGTTGCCACCCCAACCATCCCTACTCACTATGACATGCTGCCCCACCCAGCTGGAGAGGACATTCCCCCCTATATTTGGAAAACTCAGTCAGCCAGGAAATGTTTTTTTTTTTTTTTTCCTGGAAGTTCTGATATCAATTGGAAATCTCTGTTGGGACAGAGGAAATCTCAGTTGGGCAAAGAAAGGTGAGTTCAGAGTGCATCACCACAGCCTGAGGTGCCTTGTGTGCAAAAAAGTGCAGAAAAAAAAAGAGAGAAATGTAGGGAAGGGGATCAAAGGAAAAGAAGGTAAAAGAAGGAATTTAAAAAGGAGGTTAAAAAAAAAAGCTCAATGCTCAGAGAAAAGAAGAGAAGGTGCAATGTGAAAAGAGAAAGGTTTTGGCAGTCGGCCTTTTTTAGATTGAATTTGGTACTGCACTTCCTGTTTTGGTGCAGTGGTTAGGAGACGCCCCTTCAGACCTTGATATTTGTCTCTTCCTTCTAGCAATTGTCATCTTGTTGCTTGTGCTGCTGTTTCTGGATCAAGTTGGCCTGTGATATCCAGAGCTTGCCTGAAAGTAGGAGGGCAATAGACTAACAGAAATCAGGCAGTCAAGTTTGTGGTACCCTCTGACTCTTCCATGATTATTTTTCTCCCTGTTTCCATGAAAGTTTTGGTTAAAAATAAAGTGTCAATGCATTTGTAGACATGCATGAGTACCCCCAATACTTTGCCCAATGGGACAAAAATAGACAAGAAAGGGAAAAGATAGAGTGAATTCTTTTGAAAAATGAAAAAGATTTCTATATTTCAGTGGGATTCATTTATGAGATCTTAAACTATGATCTAGTTTGCTGAAATGTTGCAATTGATGCTAGAAAGTGAAGGAATAAAGGCTTTGGTCTCTTCTTGGCTCTGTCTTGCTTAATCACAGGGTTTAACTTGTACCTGCTCCTTCCTGGACCAGTCACTGGTCAGAACAATAGGTCCTTCATTTCCACAACAAATGTGTATGTTAACATTTTAGGAAATCTACAATGGAAGAACTTGGACAGAATCTATTGGATGATGGGCGAGTATCAGGAACAATAATGGAATTCAGGAGAGGAACCACTGTGTTAAGATAATCAGCCTCATCAGTGCTGAACGTGATCCCCCTCAGTACTGGGGAGGTTTCTTAGAGAGAAGTAACTTTGGTTTTATTCCTGTACTTCATGAGACTCTATTCACAGGGTTTAAAGTGATAGCAAATAGCTGTGTCTCACACAGCAAATTGGTCCTGTTTGTGGGGGAAAAAAAATCCATCCCCCTCCTTGCCTTCTACCCAGCCTAGACTCCTGCCTGAGTTAGAAGACTTTCAAGTTTGTAATAAAAGGAGACTGAAGAAAGTCCTCTCCCTTGCAGATCTTTAAATGCTTTCTAGGTTTTGCTTGGATTCCACATACCCCATCTAAAGTTTTCAAGGACAAGTTAGTCGGAGTATAATTATTCATATGAAAAGTCTTTTATTTTGCTTCATGAAATATTTGTGTTTTAATGGGTTTCACTTACAGTATTTAATATTAAAGTGCAATTTGATTTTGAGGAATTTATGCAAAACACTATAGGAAAATCAATTTATCATGAAAATAAAGAGCTGGGTAGGCTTGCTGACAACAGGAGATGGGAATGGATGAGATTAGAAGGGAAAGTCTTCTTGATTTTTTTTTTTGTTTCCTGTCCTGAATTTAGTAAAGAAGAGGATTTTCCTGTAGGCACAAGATGATGGACATACCAAACTTAGAAATGACAAAGCAGAACCTTGACTACCTGAACTCAGACCTTGAAAAGGACCTGCTGAGACTGGATGAGGCAAATCAGGTTCTTCTCAGACAAATTCAGGAGAAAGAAGAAACTATTCAAAGGTCAGGCTTTGCTTTGCAGATGGTTGGAAAGAAGGGCTCCATGGATGCCCCTTGGGTTAGAGAGAAGGTGGGAGGAAGGTTTGCTTTCTTGGTAGCCAGTCTTGCCCCTTATTTAAATTCTGAAACATGAACTGTAGTACCGTCAAAGGGTTTATCCAGGGAATTTTCTCCACATTGGATTGCCGTTGCAATATGTAACTGCTCCTGCTCTCTAAGTCTGGCTGGGAGTGGCTTCTCAAGATGGGGCCTCCACAGCTTCCTTAGGACTGGGGCACACCTGGGTGACTTTATGTTTTTCAGTCTGGAAAGAGATATCACCCTGTCAATAGGACAAGCCAAGGAGARGGAGGAGTTAAACCAGATCATATTTGAGAAGGAGGATACTCTGAGGAACCTGGAACTAGAGTCAGCAAAGCTGGTAAGGAGCCCTCTGGTGGAGAAAGACCATAGGAGTCCTTTGTGCCTATTTTTCCACTCTCTTTCCCAGGGGACCATCATGTTGATGCTCATCACTTCTGCATCTGTAGAAATTGCAGTGGTCTAAGAGTGAAGTGTTCAGCACGGAGTTGAGGTCTGGGCTCTGTCTCAGTTCTGCAAACATGAGGCCCAGAATGCACTTTTCCCACAAGACACACTCATTTCTTGATGATTTGAGTGGTCTAGTGAGGGGAAAGGTACAAGAGCAGGGCACATTTGTCCCTTTTACCTCCKTCTTCCTATAGGAAAAAACAAATAAGATCCTCAGCAACAATGTGAAGGAGCTTCAGAACAAGGTAAGGGGTGGATTCTGGGTTTGGGTGTCCTAGGATCCCTAGCACACTACCTGCTCAAGAGAAAGGTGGGCAGTCCCAGTGTGGTGGTACATGCTGTATTAATCCCAGCAGCTCAGGAGGCTGAGACCAGAAGGACCATAAGTTCAAAACCAGCCTTGCAACTTTTCGAGACCCTAAGCAACTCAGCAAGATCCTGTCTCTAAATAAGATATAACTCAGTGAGTTCAATCCCCAGTACCAAAAAGAGGAGGGAGGGCAGGTGGGATGGGAACATGAGAAATGAGTCCTGTGCACAACTCAGAATGTGGAAATACAGAAGTACTCTAACATAAGAGCTGTTTTCCACTCAGCAGAGTCCACCCTGGAAACCAGGATCATTTCTTAGGAATCCCAGTAGAATTGTCAACTTCCTGAACTAATTCAGGATCTGAGTTAGTAGTCCCATCGTGCAGCCTGGGACCCCTGACTCTACCACTGGACCATGTTTTTATGTTTGTATGTCTTACTAAGTTCACAGTTTTTGGAATACATTTCAGATTTCAAGATTTAAGAATGTTGAGTTTGATAACAGTGCCCAAAACCAGATTTTAGAAGAATTGAAGGTGAGTAGAACAGCAATCCTAGAGATTTTCTGGGAGATGTATCACTGCCAGGCACTTGGAGAAATTATTTCAAGAACTCTCCTAGGCAAGGTGGCAAGGTGCAGAGGAGGCCTGTGTGCTTATCAGAGGTGAGCAGGTGGCCTTTATTCCCTCTACTTAATCCCATGTCTTGCAGGGACATGATTAGTTATACTAGTATCAGAGAGGACTACAGTGCCACCTGGTGGAGGGAATTATAACAGAGTCCTCATCACGCATTAATAAAATGCATGTTCTGAATGTCCACTGGGACATGTTCTCAAGAAGTTTATGATCTTAGTGAGGATTACTCTAACACCRGTATTGGAGCAGGAAGAAATAGTAACTACCACAATTTTATATAAGAGTGTATTAATCATCTCATCTGACTTTCCAAGCAATGGCTCACAGGYCAAATAAGTTTTATTTTGAAACGTATTTTATTATCTTTTCCCTCTAGTAAAAGGTAAACCAATGTGATCATAAATTTTTGAAACTATGTTGTTTATAACCCAATGTCTAGAGTAAAGGCTGGAACATAGTAAATGCCCAATAAATGTTTGTTGAATGAAAGAATAAGTTGTACTCCCAATAGGGGCAAACACCCTACTGGGAAACTCTGCAGATTCTTGTGATGAATACTGCAACTTGGTCTAGCTCACTGTGCCAGAGTCCCACTGATCTTAGCGTTTGTCTGAAAAGGAGAAGCAAGCTTTCTGTTTTGCTCCCTGTGTATGCAGAGGACACGGTGTGCACCCTGCAGACTATGACTGGAGGAGGGAGGATGGGTAGGCTCCCCGAGGAATCAGTCTCCTGAGGTTTCAATGTCAGCTCTGCCCCTAAGAGACTTAGACCAGTTATGTACTTAATTTCTTTTTGCCTTTGTTTCCTCATCTGTAAAATGAGAGTAATAATCATGCCTACCCTACATTAGCCTCCCATGTCCACAACACAGGATAACCGTTATTATCATGCATTCTACTCGTCTGGAGCAGGTGATTTTTACACATTTGTCTTGCACAAAGAAATGCTATTAACTTTCTGTTGTCCCTTGTCTTCCATAGGTGAGACTGCAGAAGTCATCAGAGTCCTGTGCAGAGCAGGAGAAAGAAATGATTAAGGTAGAGCAGTGTCACCACACTGAGCGTCTACCCAGGATTAGAATAGGAGGGAACTCTCAGGGTCTTAAAAACAGAACCACTTGGAAGCAAGGGAGGGGGAGGTACAAGAACATCTGGCAAGTGAATTTCCAGCTCACATGCAAATGGTGAGAAAGAGCACTTCCATTAGAAGTACTGCTCTTCCCATTTCTTAAACATTTCCCACCCCAGATACCACTGTTGAATCCCAGTCCTATTTGCCCTGTACCATCCCCTGGCGTTTCTGGCGAGTTCCTTTTCTCAGAATTAGATCCTGTGTGAATGGTGAGATCACTTCTTTGTGAGGTGGTTGTTTTCCTTTCAAGTCAGGAGTTGCTAGGTAACCAGCCAAGTGTCCAGTGCCCCCAGGCAGGTTTCAGGGAACAGCTTAGTTCTGATTTAACTCATGAAGCTTGTTAATTTCCTTCTCTTTCTAGCTAGAGAGTGACTACCAATCTGTGTATCAGCTCTGCAAGGACCAGGCCCACTACATAAAGGTACTCCACCTCCAGAAGAAGTCAGAGTAGAGGCAGTTTCCCCCAAGACCACGGAATGCTTGGTTTCTCCTTAGGCTGGGATCTGTCCCTGGGGAAAATGCCTTTTAAGCAATCGCAGCAACAACAAAACAGATGTATGTTAAGGATTCGGTCTTTATTTTGAAAAATGCAGTCTTTTTCTTAATGTATCTAGTAACTCAGCAAGGCTGATACTGTCATGAGGAAGAGAACACCGAGGTCTCAAAGACTTAGGGAGCATTGCTGGGGAGCTCATGTGTCAGCACTGGGATCTGGGTTCAAGCAGGGTCCAGAGTGAGGGCTCCTACTGTTCATGTAGCTCCATCCTGGTTTCTACCGTCTCCTTAGTTTTTATTAGACGTTTCCCTACTTTGTTCATACCCATGCATGTTTAGAATATTGTTATTCTCATTGAAATAAAATATCAAAATTCTCATTTATGATATCTCCTCCCCCTGTGGGAAGAAATACCAGGAAATTCTGAGGAAGATGGAAAAGGAAGAAGAAATGCTGTTGCTTGAAAAGGAAATGTAAGTTTGGAAAAGTGACCACCCTGATGGGCTGAGGCGACAGTCCTGGGAGATCCCTGAAGGGGGGAGTAGTTGGTGAACCGTTCTCAGGATAGTTGGTGTCACTGTGTAAATGACCTCCAGCAACTCTTTCCCAGCAGCCTCGACTCCAGGTTCTAGACTGGAAAATCCTTAGCATTCGGGCTTCTCTTTCGCCCTCCTCAGTAACTGGTATTTAGAAAGTCTCTTTTTTTATGTTCCTTTCACATATCTTCAATTGACTTAAGCAACATTCAGAGAGGAAGAATCCTAGTTAAAAAGAGGCCCAGAAATGTTTCTCCATGTGGGTGTGCTATCCCCTTTCCCAGGACACACACAGTGGACCCACTGGACTGACCAGAGGCCCCAGTCATGCCCTTTTAAACTCCGTGTCTTGGACTTGCATGTCTCAGGACTCATCACACTTTCCGGCGATACTTTTTAATTGTATTACGTATAATAGTCATAGACTGCACAAATCTTAAGTATATAGCTTGATGAATTTTTATACACAGATGCACACTTAATACCACCCTCTCATTGAAATAAAATATCAAAATTCTCATTTATGTGTAGAACATTTTGAGCACCCTAGATTTCTCCCTTAGATCCTCTTCCCAGTCAATACTCCTTGCAAAGGTAACACTAACAATTACTCTTTTATTGTTTTGAAACTCTATTCTTGAACATTGCATAAATTCAGTATGTACTCTCTTTTGTATCTTTCACTGAGATTCCCTTATGTTGCTTTTTTTGTGGCTGTAGAGTATCCCACTGTATGAGTACAGCACATTGATCTAGTTTTGATGAACAGGTTGATTATTTCAAGTTTGGGGACATTAAAATACAACTGTTATAAATGTTCTTTTTCTTTTCTTTTTTAAGTAAGCATTCTTGTTCTTGTCCTTTGRTGGACCTATCCACTCATTTCTCTCCAGTCACTGGGTACACATCTCTTTTTACTTGATAAGCCCRACAATTTTTACAGTGGCTACACTGATATCCTTCCCACAAAACTGTACAAACATTCTAATTGCTCTGCATCCTCACTTTCAATTAGTATTGACAGTCTGTTTGATTTTTAACCATTCTGGCAGGAGGTATAGTGATATAAAATTTTATTTTATTATTATAATTAATGAGTACTAATGATGTTATATGGCTTCCCAAATGCTTCTTGGAAATTTGGYTATCCATTTACATGACATATCTTTTGCCTATATTTGGGATATTTTGGTCTTTTATCATTAATTTAGAGGAGTTTCTTGTATTTTTTTTTCCTTTAACCTTTTTGTAAAGTGTACTGCATTCTGTTCTCTGGCTTTTCTTTTTTAATTTYTTAATGGAAGTTTTGGATAAACATTAGTTCTTCATTTAAAGGACATGTAAGCCATAAAATTTATCAGTACTTTATTACCTAATGCTTTTTATAGGCCATAATAGGACTATTCTCCTGTGATTCCACCAAGATTTATTTCATTGTTTTACCTTTTACACTTACATTTACTTTCATCTGGAATTTCTTTTTTTTTTTCTGTGTCCAAATGGTCCAGCACCATTTATTGAAGAGAGAGTGAATTTATAGAGGAGCCTTATTTTATATATTAGATGACGTATATGTGTGAGTCTGTTTTTTGAATATCTTATTCTGTACCATTAGTCTCCATCTCTATCCTTGTGTCAGCACTATACTGTTTTTTTGTTTGTTTGTTTTGGTTTTTTTGTTTGTTTTTGTTTTGGAACCAGGCTTTAAACTCAGGGGCACTMGACCACTTAGCCACATCCCCAGCCCTGTTTTTATTTTACTTAGAGAAAGGGTCTCACTGAATTGCTGAGTGTCTCGCTTTCATTGAGGTTGGCTTTGAACTCGTGATTCTCTTGTTTCAGCCTCCCGAGCTGCTGGATTATAGGTGTGTATCACTGTGCCCGGCTACTATACTGTTTTAATTATTGTAGCTTTATACTTGGCCTTGATATATGGTAACTTAATTTCTGTAACTTTTTAACTTTTTGAGATTATCTTGGCTCTTCTTGGCCCCTTGAATTTCAATATAAATTATAAAATTGATTTTTCAATTTCTACCAGAAAAACCATTACTGAAATTTTGAATGGAATATGTAGATAAATTTGGAAGATAATTGGCATCTAAATAATAGTTTTCTAAGCGCATGAAAGTTTTTAGRTCTCCATTTATTTAAATCTTTTCAAATTTCACACAATAATATATTGTTGTTTTCTCTATCGTGTTCTAATGAATCTTTCATCAGATTTATTTCTAGGTATTTGGTTGTTTCATGCTACTACAAATGATATGTTTATTTGGTTTTCTGATTACTGCTAGAGTATAGTAATACAGTTGACTTCTTTACATTTATTAAACGTATATCTGTCAATCTTGCTAAATCCATTTATTCTAATACTTTGTAGGTTTTTKGGGGGGCTTTTATCTATGAAGAATGATACTTATGTTTTTTCCTCCTTAATCTTTATATCTTTTTATTGCTTTTTCTTGCTTTTAATGCATCAGCTATGACTTTGTAATACAGGCTGGGGGGACACACTTGACACTGGACTTAGGGGTGAAGTATTAACTTAGTCACCAGGATGCACATGTGCCCTGTGACTTGCTTGCACACACTTTTATCAGATTAAGACTCTTCTCTTTTATTTAGAGCGTCCTTTGTGTTTTCAGCATGGCAGATATTAAGTTTAGTTCAGTGCTCCTGTGGTATCTATTAAAAGGATCATGTTTTTTCCCTGCAAAGTGTGCCAGTCTCCCCTTCAAGTTTGAGAGATCTGGAACTCCAACTTCCGCTCCCCAGCACTACCTTTGATCAACTCTTGAGCACTTTCTGTATTCTTTGAGTTTCTTTGTGTGTGTGTGTGTGTGTGTGTGTGTGTGTGTGCGATCTTGAGATACCTGTGTACAGCTTAGGAGCTGGCCACCGCATCAAGAAGACCTCCCTTGAATTTTTTTCCCTCCATCGCAGTCACTTTGGTCTTAAACTCCACCTCTGACTCCTCAGTCAATTGATGCTGCCACTGGCTKCGTGGACTCTATTCCCTGGCTCATCACACGTTGGCAAATGTCCTTGCGGGGGTGTAGGGGCTTGGATTAATGAGGAGCTCCTCTTCGTGGGCTTTACTTCTGACTGAATTTGCCTGTGTATTCAGACAGCTGTTGTGTATTTTGTCCAGTTGCCTTTGGAAGTCGGCTCCTTTAACACAAGCTACCTCATTATGGTAAGAATCAGGAGTCTGTGCCATTTCTCCCCTTTCTCCTCTAGTTCATGATAATAAAAAGAAATTCCTATTTTTAAAAAAATAGAAGACTGGGTCAGGATTTACTGGGATTGACTCTCCAGCAGAAAATAACTATAGATTCTAAATGAGAACAAAAAGCAACAAATAAACAAATAGTGATCAGAAGACACCAGGGAATGAATAAGGATGGCAGATTCTAGAGAGGAGTTGACATTGGGAAGAGGAGAACCGCAGGAGGTTTTTTCCCATGTTTATAGCTTCTAGCCTGTGGGTAACTGCCAAAGTGTGTATATAAGGGGCAGCTAAAACCAAGAGAAAACCTGAAATCTTTCTGTGTTAAAAGAAAAGAGAATAGAGTTCCAGGGAGCCACAGATGCTGGAAAGAAACTAGAGAGCCAAACAAGGGGAGTTCTAAATTCTAAATTCTGCCCCTAAACTCTGCTCAGATCTCTGGCCAATCTCCTGTCTGTAGGCAGCACAGCTGAGGAGGTAAGATGTGAACTGACATTTGAGCTGCCCGGAAAGACAGGCTTTCAGTTTGAATACAACATCAGGCAACRTCAGGCTTTGTCTTCACAGATGGTCTTTCTCTTGTAAATGGGTCACATTTTCCTAGTTTTTTTTGTATGCTGAGTGATTATGAATTTTGACTGTTGGGCGTTGTGTTTGTTTGCTTTGTGCAGTACGGAGAACCAAATGCTGGGGTGCTCTCCCACTGACCTACATGCCTAGCCCTTCGTACTTTATGTTGAGACTGGGTCTAAGTTGTTGAGGCTGGCCTGGGATTTGTGATCCCCCTACCTCAGCCTCATGAGTTGCTGAGAATTACAGGTGTGTGCCTCTGCACCTGGCTAGCATGTTGAACATTGTGAATGTTAATAAGTATCTAGTAAACAAAAATCAGACACATTGAATGTGTTAGAAAAGCGTGTTTTATCAGGCCCTCGGATTATGTTACATGACTTTTTATTCTGATCCTGTTTTTTTTTTTTTTAACCTTTTTACTCTGATCTTTTTTTTTTTCCCCCCAGATCCAAAGCCCAGAAAAACTCTTCCCAAATAGTGAAGCCTGGGTCAATTCTAGTAGAGACCATCCAAAGAAACATGGTAAGGCTTACCTCTCTAAATTTAGGGCTTCTCCTGTTCTCCCCTCTCCTCTGTTTGCTCCCCTCTTCTTTTTAATAACTTAATAAATGAGGCTTAATGCCCTGATTGCCACCATGGCATCTAGGAGGTGGCAGAGTCAGGATTGGAACCTGGGCAGCCTGACCCAGGATCCCCGCTCCCAGCCACCCTGTTATACTGCCTTTGTGTGAGCACGGGACATTCACAGCTTTGGTTTTTATTGCTTCCCACAGGAGAAAGCCATCAAAAAGAAACACAAGAGGATCTTTTGGTACAGGTAAGTGGCAGAATCTTGGGTTTGACCTTGTCAGGCCACATTCACTCTACAGGTGACCTGATAGGGGACAAAGGAATAGGTAGAAACATACCCATGAAACAAAACACGTTGGGCAGCCCCAGATTTCTTCCAACCCTTCCTTTCTCAACACAGTTTTAACACCAGAGCCACAGAGCTATAAATAGCTAGAGAGGAGTTAGTGGCTATTGCTACTCRAAGTTCTGCATTTAGAAGACTAGGTGTTGCATTTCACTTTACTTTCCCATTAATGACCCTCAGTATGACCTCTTCTTATTTTCTTGGTCCTGAACATGGTAACCTTCTACTCTACTCTCTTGGAAAGAGAATTCAGGGTGCTTTCTTCTCTTGCTGCTTCTCCTGCACTTTTAGAGGCAAAAAGAACACTACTTGAACTCTGCACCTTTTCATTTTTAATTTTTGAAATAAGGAAACTGATTCTGAAGTGCTTCTTTGTATTGTACTTTTGTGAAAAGCTCCAGTTTATGTTATTTCTCCGCAATCAAAGACTTAAGGTCTAAGACCACTGGTCAGGGTAGAATTGGCACATAAGAAAACACACACACACACATTTTATTGTTTGAGTTGGTTCATTTTGGTATTGTGTGTGTAGAAAAAGCCAGTCCTCATCATTTTGCCTGGATGTCAATGTCAGAGATGGCTAAATCTTCCTTCACACCCTAAAGCTGCTTACTGTGGAAGACCTGAAGAGGGCTAATGGCAATGAGGCTCACAGTGTGACTGCTCTCAACTTTTTCTAATAACCTCAAAATGCCCGCCCCACATATGGTACCCAGAAAGTCATCTTCTTTTGGACTTCCAACTTTCCATATGGTCATCTATCTATTCTATTGGGGGAATTTAAGTGTGGGGGGGGGCTGTATTCAATTCCTGTCTGCTACCTCACTCTCTTTCTGCATTTACCTGTCTCCCACTGTACCCTTATTCCCTGCCTTTCCCCATTAGATTTTTGCCTGAAGAAAACAATTCTCAAGCCATTTATGAGTGTGAGGTTCATCTCCCACTTCTTGACCTTGGGCTGTCCCTTTCTCCCATGCTAATGATGACTGTCTTGTTGCAGGCATTTCCGTGGTTTTGTCTTCATGGTCATGATCTTCATTAGGCTGCTGGGTTATGTGTTTTTCCACCTGCAGTACATAAACCCAGACCTTCTTGTGGATGCCCTGCCCCTGATGATGAGTAGGAGCAGTTTGAAGAGGCTAAGGGATATCTTATTTCCCTTCCTCACTCTAGAAGTGGATGAAGTTCTACCGCACTAATCTGGGGTGATCACTGCACCTCACACTGCACCTCACACTACCCCTAAGAGGAGGAGCTGTGGCTGTGGCCTTGTATTAGAGGTGTGGGCCAGGAAGGAGGTAGAAGTCTTCACCCCAGAGCTGCTACTTGATATCCAATCTTTTCTTTTCTTTTTGCTTTCCCTCTGGAGTATCTCTCTTTCAAATAAAGAATATGTTTGACCAGAGTTCACCATATTGGTTTTGTGAGTCCTGGGGCCTTACTATGCACTCATGGGTTCTACATGTGCTGTTGAGAAAAGTTAAACCTAAGACAAGATAATATAAATTCTCCCAGGGTTTTTTGTTTGTTTGTTTTTTAGTAAACACAGGTTAATTTGTTAGATTCTTCAGTCTCTGCTTTGGCATTGCTAGGGGCATGAAATTGAGAACTACCAATGTGGATATAAGTCTTGCTCCCTTCTACTATTTAATAACACATTATCTTCCTACAGCTCTTTTTATGTTATGCTATGTCTTACAGGAGTGTGAAGTACTAAAAAAAAAGTGTTAAACTAACCTCTCTAATGCACATAGCTGGTTTACCCATTCTACAATGAAAATCATTCTAAACTTCAAGTGTGAATAAAAGAAAGGGTGTAAAATCAGAGAGGGCTTTTGATAACGCCCAACAAAAATGTGCAACTTATCTGTCATTCAAATCCCAATTCAAATGTCTTACTTTCATGAGATCGCCTCTGAGCCCTACCAATCAGAGATAGCTTCTCTGGGCCTTCTTCCAAATGCTGCTAACTCCTTCTCTGAACTTATCGTCCTACTTATTTTTGCCTTATGGTGTCATAACTGGGTGCCTTAACCTTGAATTATGTCCCCTTGATTTCTATGTTATCCCATACAGCCCCTTAGCATCATGTCTTAACAAAAGAGGAATTAATAAAAGAATGAAGGAGTCCTTGAAAGGTGACATTTGGGGTCCTTAAGCTAGACCCTGTTTTGTGAGAGCCCACACTTTTTCAGAACAGCCAAGAAGGTGTTGTTGGTGCAAAAGGAAGGAAGGTAAAGGGACATGCACAAAACAAGAGGTTGTCTGGCCAGTTGGTGAAGACTATGGAAGACAAGGAGGGCTAGAGCAGCTCCTTCCTTCTCCACGTTTCTCATGCTGTGGTTTTGTATAGAGACCTTTTCTCTTTTGAGATCATTCTTGATATAAATTTTAACTGAATTTCACTTGGGTAACATCAGGGTAGATGAGACACACTGCATGTTTGCATTGACTGCAGACATGACCCTGGTGCAAGTTTTCTTTCTGGGGTCTACAGAGGAAGAGAGGGAATGATCTCAGAACCGTGTTAAGTTGCCTACAAAATGAAAAGCTGATCAACAGCACCCTCTTGTGGCCAAGAGATAGCTCTTTGCATTGCAGCAGGCTTCACATAAAGGAGTGATTATCCAAAGGAAGAGGGAAAGATGGATTAGATATCACTTCTGTGCAATTCTTTCTATGTGTTCTAAAAATTCCAATTAGTCTTCATTCATTCAACTAATATTTATTGCGCATGCTCTTTGGGCTATGTAATGTTTTAGGTGCCTGAATGATAGCAATAAACAAAACAGACAAGACTCTGTCCACAGTCTAGTGGGTAGAAGCAGATGATAAACACAATTGAATATACAAATATCAGATGCTGTTAAGTGATACAAGGTAGTTATCCCTGGGGGAGGAGGGGGTAGTGGGAAGTTGTGGTCATAGTGCTCACTGAGGAGGTGGCATTATAAGGAAGACTCCAGGGAGTTGAAAGAGCTGTAGAAGTGGCAAGGGGAGCAGTGAGGCAGAGAGGGAGATAGCAGGCACCAGAGCTTGAGGTTGGACTGCACCTGGTACCTCGAGGTTCCTTTGCTGATTCCCTGCTCACATCTCTGTAATGGTCTCTTCAATAAGTCTCTTCATGGGAACCCTGAGTTCACTTGAGGTTGCTGCCAGGATAGGACACAGTCTGATGCCCTGTTCACTGGCCAGAGAATTCCTTATGGTGAAGGGTCTCAGCATTTGGGTGACTCTAAGCCTACATGAAAGGAAAGGGTGCAACTGGCCAAAAAATGTATTAAGTCTTCCCTCACTGATTCCCATACCTTGCCACTCAGTTGTTCATAATTAAAGGAACTCCTCAGCTCCCCACTACACCTACTCCTTCCCACAAACACATTCCACCATTCCAAAATTTAAGACTGGTTAGAAAATAGTGGCTTGGAAAAATATGGATTAGATAGCACTCATTCACAGACAGCCATCCAGGCGGAACATGGACACTGTTAGAAATCCATGTTGCAAAAGCACAGTGGCCTTTGCTGCCCTAGAAAGCCTGACTCCAGGTATTAAGCAGATTCCAAGAGGGCCTGGACAGCATTCCCAAGTCCTGGATGCAGAAAAAGGGATCGCAATGCTTTAAGTGAATTGAGCGGGAGGTCTGAATTCCAGTGCCTGGGCACTCACCACCTGCTAAATATCCAACTGCTTCTGAAAGGTTTGAACAAAATAATAAAAAGCAACTAGTACCGCAAAGGAGCATGCAGTGGGAATTCTACCAATGCAAATTTCCTTTCTCTTATGTTGATAAAAGTTTGTCTTCAGCTAATTAATCTTATGAAATGACAAAGGAAAATGAATACCTCCTCCACAGTTTAGTTATTACAGTTGAAGAGACTTTTGTTCTCCAAAATGAACACCCCCAAGTCCTTTAAGCTCTCATGACCTGGCTTCCAGATCATGTATTATCTTTTATTCTTTCTTCCTTGGAGACCTACAGAGTTGAACAGAACACTATAGGTCACATCTTCCTGACAGAGTCCAGTAGTCTCTGCCCTCTTATTCTGCCTTTACTGATGCTTCCAAGATATTTTTTAACCATTTTGGCAGTATCACACAAAGAAGTGAGCTCATGCTCTATCAAGATTCCTAAGCATTTTGAATATGATTATTCCACATATCTTCTGTTTTATATTTGCACAGGTTTGAGAAACAATGCTAAATGCAAGACTTCCCATTGTTCTGTTAAATTTCACTTTGTTGGTTTAGATGCTTCATTTTATTTGTTGTAATTTTTAAGCCCTTATTCTATTAAAGAATTGGCTAGCCCACTTAGTGACCAGGACACCGGGTAGAATGGAAACTGTGAAGTGTTGGATACAGAGAGCTTAGGTGTGAAAGGCCTTGTAGGAATTGGTGGCCTCATGCAGCCGGCTAACCCTTCCCTGAAAGTAGTTTCCAAGGCTCGCCCCCAGGGAGCATGTTACAACTGGTGCAAATTCTCTTGGTAGCCTGAAGTGGAGTGTCTTTGGGACTGGAGACTTGAATTCAATTAAATTGATTAGGCACTCTCTATCTTGTTATCTGTCCTAAAACTTAATTATCTGCTAACTACTTCAGACTATCCTTTTATCATGCTAAAGATCAATTTCCTTGATAGAGAAGGATGATGTGAAATCGGACTCTTATCTATCAACAGTATTCCCTATGCACCAAGGAGTGACCTATCCCTTTCATTTCTACTTGTTCTAAACATGTTAAAAGTACCATTTAAAAAAAAAAATCGCAATCTTGAAAAAAAAGCACTAAATGAATAATTAACCCTGAACCCTGGCCCTTTCTTTGTTATTATTAATCTGATTTTATATAAGACACATGCCCTCTCTGGGCCTGAGACTGATTTCTGGGTGGTTTCTAAATCATTCATATTAATATTCTTTGATTCAGTGAACTACTCCACTCAGGTCCTTGGTTAGTCAGAAACAACTCTCTTTGCAATTTTTTCCAAGCCCCCAAGCCTCAGCCTTCCAAGCAGCCTCAGTTCTTTCCTGACTTCTGCTTTTTCCCAGAGGATCCACCACAAGCTTGGAAATGCTTTCTCATGTTTCTTTGTCAAGAGTCTCAGTGGGCGATGTTCCCATAATTCCTATCCTCTTCAGAAGAGCAGTGTTTCTTTAGAATAAGCTAAGAAGTTTGGTTTATAGGCTTAGTTCAGCAAACATTTATTGAGTGCCTGATAGGCACCAGACATTGCACAATGAATGCAGTAGGATGTGGGAAAAGGAGCAGAGGAGCAATTAGAGAATTAGCAATTAATCACGCGCTCAAAAACTCCCAAGTTGGCAGCAGATCCCAGCACTCAACATCAAGGTTAGCAGTAACTCTGAAGCTTCTCTGAAGTATGAATTCTGGCTTAATGGAGGCTCAGAACTTTTACTACCCTCGTCATTTATCGATCATCCACTCTACTGCATATATCATTAGATAATTCCCACATGGCCACTATTTCCTAGTTTGCTGAACTGCCTGAGATTATCCTGCCAGTGAACAGCAGAGCCAGGGATCATAAGCCACCTCACAGACACTGAACCTGCTGGTACCTTGATTTAGATTTCTCTGTGCCCAGAAATATGAGAAGTAAATTTCTGTTTGAAGTTACTCAGTCTTTAGTAATTCATTACAGCAGCCAAATAGACCCCATCTTGAAATGCAATGAGTTGGAATTCTGAAGGTTTCTGAGAACTTAAAAGCTCAAAGAKTGCTAGCCCTGGGGCAGGGACCATGAGCAGGCAACACTGCTCCCTCCACTTGCTTGGGCTGCTAGCAGCTTCCCTTCCAGGCTGCTGTCCTCAGGGCTGTCAGCTGGCAAAGTTGCCCCAGGGTGGACCCATCCACTCTTACCAGCAGGGGTGTGATCTGCCTGTAGATTTCAGGAATCTGACTGCCTACTTAAAGGTTGGGGTTGTTTTTTTCTTTGGGAGTCTTGTTGATAGGTTAGAGAAGCCTAGATCTAACCTAACGACCTGATAATTCTGTATTTCTCAGCTCCTCTGAGCGAAAGCACAGGAGAGTAGAGGGAGAAACATCAGTGGCTTTCAGCAGTTCTTAGGAGAACTGTGAAGCAAAGGCTGAGATGGGGTGGGATGAGAGGTAGGGTGGTATGGAGGGTGGGGAAAGTCCGAGAAAATCTGAGGAGAGAGGGAATAGATTTTCTGGA